CGATAGGGGCGCCGGGTCAGGAAAGGATGATGATGTGACCCTTCCTGACATTGGGAAACTGTCCGTGACGGAAAGAAGAAGGACGACATGGACGTGGATCAGGAAGGCTCCAAGAAGGATTCCACCGGGACGAAGGAGCCCACGCCTCGGGGTACTGAGGCTGGGAAGACAGACCCGAGTGAGATTACCAACTTCAAAGGGGCTACCTTCGAGGAGTACCGGAAGACTGCTCCTGACTATGAGTACAGCGGGGAGGGAGATGATCGAAGGATCCTTCCCAAGAACACTCCGATAGACATGGAGAAGTCGTTGCCGGCCGAGGTAGCGCTCTTGATTCCGAGGGCAGTGGCCACGCAGAAGGAGGCTGAGGAAGCCGAGAGGGCCGCGATGGAGGCCATCCGCGGGGATTATAGGCTTCCGGATGTGGGTCAAGAAGACAGGGAGAAGGTCGACCCGTACACCGTGACGGACGAAGACTTGGCTGCGTCGGTAGACGCGTTGACTAGGAGGTTGAGCAACATGCCTGAGTGGTCGGGAAATTTGATCGACCCTGCGAAGTCTGCTGAGCTGGTCGCGGCGAGACGGGGCGGAAAGGCGAGTTATGACAAGCCTGAGGCTCCTCTGACTGAGGCTGGGATGAAAAGTGCGTCATTGGAGGATCGTGCCTATGCACTATCGCAGCTGAATCAGATGGTGAACTTTCACAAAAGGCACCTATGCTCTGGGCGAGGGGCGCCTCTGGTGAGTGCAGCTGCCCCTAGTGGACCCTTTGCTCCTGACCAGCTGGATGATAGCAGGAAGTTCAGGCCTAGTGGGGCGGCGAGCAAGATGACCTACAATCTTGTGATTCTGGATGGGAAGGAGGATTATCTTGCCGATAGGCGAGAGATCAATCCAGAGTTAAGGGAAACGGGAGTTATCCCTGATGAGGCCGTCACTTGCCAGATTGTGGTTCCCTCGAAGACGAGGTTGGGTGAATACCTCCCGAACTACGAGGAGACCGTGGGCACCGTTGCGGGACGGGAGGCGGCAAAGGAGTTGATGAGACTGCTCTCGTGCGATTTCGACGGTTTGGTCATCAATTCAAAGAGAGTCTCGGAGGTATTCGAGGAGCGAGTGCTGAAGGAGACCGGACGCGAGGCTGGAAACTGGGTGAAAAGTGACCAGGCCATCTGGTTCCTGAAGGAGATTTCGGGCATGGAGAACGCTGAGATGTCTTGGAAGTTCTTCATTCCGACGCTTAAAGCTTTCCCGATAGGGCAAGTGGAGGCGATGCTCATGGTCATGTACGACGGGGATGGCGTTCTCCTCAAAGAGAGCACCAGGTTGGTTGCCGTTAGGCACACGCGGATCGGACGCGACTTGAGTTACAGTGCCGTTAGGCACAGGTATACTCAGGAAGATGCACCTGGCGGATCTCTGATGTATGAGATGCATTGGAATGAACTCCCCATGGTGGGATACGTCATCATGAAGTTCTCGGACTTTCGGAAGGCGGTTCAGCTCCAAAGGGTGAGGCGAAATGGAAAGGCCATGATCGAGATATTGATCACGAGGCCCGATGTGTACGAGACCATTGGGGATGGTAGGCAGGATGAGGGCCTGATCCCACTTGTGGGAGCCATGGCGCCGGATGCCGAGGTATCGCCTTCGTGGTATGTCAGGGACAGGCTGCGGAACTACTCCGGTAGGTACGTGGTGGTAATGGTGGATCTTCGGGTGCACTGGTCCTTGGTTGGACCCGTGTTTTTGACGAGAAGGAAGACTCTTGCCGTTAGGAACGAGATCCACATGGGGGCTTGGAAGGCGGCATATATGTACGATGATTACACGATAGTGTACCATCGGGCATGGGACTACGGTGACTTCACCCCCGTTAGGGGAGAGCACAGGCGATCACGGGAAGAGATCAGGCTGAATGTGACTGCCACGTTCTGCTTGAGGTGCGCAGAGTTGATGCCAAATGGGATGCACTTGTGTCCCGGGTGCGCGCTCCCGGTCTTTTACCCGAACTTTATCCCCAACGCGGAGGAAAAGGACTTCGAAAGGTGCCACATCGTGCCGGAGTGGGTGAGGACCATGGGGCAGTTCAAGCCCAGGAGGATTCCCTCCGAAGTGGTCGGAGTCATCAAGAGGAATTTGATTTCCTATTCGATGGCATCCGATCTGAGGATGACGGTGCAGAGCGGCATCAGACTTCCCCCTTATCTTGGTGAAGACAAGGGAGGTGTCGATGCGGCGTGGGATGAGCTGGCGAAGGTGCTCTTCCAATTCTCCTATGTGTCCGGGATTTCGGCCTCGGATGCGTTCGTGGAGAAGTGGGTGGCGAAGCACCTGATCAAGACCAACCAAGTCGATAGATTTGAATCGGTCACGGAGTACTTCCGGGCCAACCCAAGACACGCTGCTCAGTGGGGTAGGCGTATGACGACTTCTCGTCATGACACGTACTTGTCCTTCTATATTCCGATGGCATACGTGATTGGCTCCGCGGCTGGTCATCTGACCCCATTGTACCCGACCCATCGAAAGGACGTGGACATCCTGGAAAGTCATGCGTTGATTTCGCAGCTCAGGCAGTACATGGTGTCGGAGACAGGGTACGATGAGAAGAAGAGGTTGAAGGAGGCGATAGCCAAGGTGCAGAAGGCGATCAGCGTCGGACAGTCGAAGCCTCCCGCACCCTTCCGTGACCCGTTCGTCTACGTTAGTGACGAAAGGGTGAGGACGGTTCTTGACGGTCGTCAACCCGAACCATTGAACGTGGACATCGAGGGACTTCAATCGGTGCATCATGCTGCGCCGGGTCCTGGTCCCAAGCAGGAGCCGGTCCCCAAGGGCGGAAAAGGAAAAGGGAAGAAAGGGGAAAAGGGCGGTAAGGGCGGTAGTCCTTCCGGCCCACCACCAAAATCAGGTGAAGTGCCAGGTAAAGGATCTGGTAAGGGCGGTAGCCCATCTGTCCCAAAGGCGAAGGATGATGCTGGACCTGCTCCGATGGAGGTTGATACAGCAGCAGCTCAGCCGAAGAAGTCTTGGGCCGAGATGGTGGTTGAAGGGGCCAGGCCGAGTGCCAAGGCTAAAATGACCCCGGTTCCTAAGGCCGAGCCGAGAGGGAAGGCTGCTTCAGCATCTGAGGCGAAGAGTGCTCCGGCTCCAAAAGCTGTGGCTAAGGAGACGAAGCAGGCCGAACCGAAGGTTGAGGTCAAGAAGGAGAAGACAGGCGGAGGTGACGCTCCCGGCGGTAGCCGCGGGTCGGCCGAAGGGCAGAAGAGAGAAAGGAATCCCGTTGGGATCCCGACGAGGCTGCGAAGGAGTCGACAAAGCGGGAGGCGTCCACGAGGCCTGGCGACGTCGACAGCAGACCAGGTGCGGCAGCGAGAGAAGCTAGCGGGGATGATCTTCACTCCGCGCTTGGCAGATCTTCGGCAAAGGATGCGGTAGCGCCTTTGACGGCCTCCAAGGCGATGGCAAAGAAGCCTGAAGGCGGGGAGATCCGGCTGCAGTCTGCTGAGCGGGCTGCGGCGAGCCCGGTGGAGGGTCACTTCCTGGTGCTGCCTGAGAGTTCGGTGGTGGACGCTTTCTTGTCGATCTCCACCAACAGAGTGCTGAACAAGCAGGTCAGGGATTTCATCAGGAATGGTGAGGACGCGTCGGCGCTGGAGGCTCTCAACCAGATCGTGACGAACTCTCGATCTGGGAGGAGGCGTAGGGAGTCGGATGTTTCCCGTACTCCTTCTCGGAGGTCCGTTAGGACCGTGGACACCAGGGATTCCAGAGAGTCGAGGAGGCGCAGATACCGTCCGCGGCGCGAGGATGATCGCGACAGGAGGGGGGACGATGCTCGTGATCGTCGTGATGATGATTCACTCGATCGGGAGCGAGATCGAAGGCGAGATGATCGCAGGAGATCCGAAAGGGATCGTGATAGGGACCGTGCGCGGGGCGGACGTGACCGGAGGAGACGTGACGATAGCCGGTAGGCTGAGTCACGGGGATTGCGGCCGATAGGCTTGCGTCCATTCTCCAATGGTCGGCGCGGTGTGGAGGTGATAATGTTCCTCCCGGACCGCTGAGGCGCGGAGGTCATGTCTCTCCCGTACCGCTGCTGAGCTGCTGGACGTGTTCATCCGGAAGCAGTATGAGTGAGAGGGAAAGCAAACTAATGGGGGGTTACTCCCGGGCTTGCGGAATTCAAGCATTTTTCAGGTACGCATGGTCAGGGGTATCTCTTGCCGTTAGGCGAGGGTACCATTGAACATACGTTATCTTTATTTTTCATGGCTTCTGATAAGAATTAAACTTCTTGCATTGTTGATGCAAACAGTTGTGACCTAGTGTCGTCATGTGGACCTTTCCACAAGGTGTGTTGGACAGCGTTACCCCGATTAATTCGGGGTGGTGGCGGGAATTTAATGCCCGGGATGTCGCGCAACTGCCTTTGTGGGTTTGCTCCACCGCTGACGGCGGTAGTGTCCAGCTGTTTGCGGACGCATGCGAGCAGTTAAATCCTATCAGTAAATGGCACGCTCCACCCGTCATGTGACGGGCTCCTCGTGAGGGGGGTGTGATTAGCCATGGTTCATATCATCATCAGGGACGTCGCGTTAGTGACCGACCTGTGGTGTTTTGGCTCAAGTTTTGGGTTCCGTCGCGCCTCGAATGGGCGTCGCCGAACCCCTGCGTCGACCGACGGCATCTCGGGGGAGAAAGAGACCTCGGGCCGCCGCCAGGTTGGTAGGGACCAGTCGTGCGGCCTGTTGTCGACCAAGGTTGCGGGTTAACCCTTTTCTTGTTTGGTTTGTTTTCCTTTGGTTGTTGTTCTCTGGTGTGTGGGAAACCCTGATCTTTGGGACCGGGGATTGGTTTGTTTTGGGGAACCTTTCTTTTGTGGCTTGTTTACCCCAACTTACCCATTGCCTGGGCACAGGCTCGTGCCCGAATCACAAAGAAGAAACGACAGACCGATCATCTAGGCTTGGATCCTTTGCACTGCGCGCGAGGCTGCGCTGCTCAAGACGCAGATGGTGCAGCCAGCGACGGAGGACTGAGGTCCTTCGAGCGACTCTTCTCGCGGCATATGGCTGTGGTTGTCAAAAATAGGTACCCAAAATGGCACCCTGGTAAATAGAAACAAGGACTAAAACCTGTGGTCCCCTGGTGGTTTCAAAACTTTAAAAAAATGGGTATGGGTCAAAATGAGAAACCACCAGGATATGGACCGGAGATTTTAGTCCATGTTTCCATTTACCAGGGCAACCCATTTTGGGGTTACCCTATTTTTGACAACCACAGCCATATCATTCATAGGGAGCAAGGTGGTGTCACTTGATCTTCTTCTGTTGGGCGCTTTTCCGTTTCTCGAGGACTACAGCTGCAGCAAGTGTGGGTCCCAGCGCTGCATGCGCAACGAAGTCCAGACGGGGTGGCACAGCGACCAGCAGGACTTGCGCCTTGCCTCCGAAGCGCCTCAAGCGGCTCTTTGGCTCTGTGAAGTGACGGCGCCCGGAGAAATTTATTGGGTGGAATTTGAGCAGGGAAGCCCATTGGGTTCCCCGTAAAATCAGCCCAAAAAGGGGTGCCGGCAAAGAAGGCGACGCGAGAATCCCGCTCTGACTCTTTCCAAGGACTCTTTTCGTCACTTGCCTCAGCTGCAACTGGCTGCATTATGCGTGTCGAGCAAACCAAAGGGTCCGTTTTCAGTGATGCCCTTTCAATTACCCGGGCTATCAAAGAGGCATCACCGGTTCTCAATCCCGTGAACATGCTCGCCCACTTGAGCCACACTCAAAACCCGGTTGTATTGAAGAATAGTAGGGGAACGTCCCAATGAATAGGTGCGGCCGTTTATGTTCTTTGCTTTGGTTTGGGTAGACCCTTTTCTCGTACCGATCGGTTTTGATTGTGACTCAACTGGGGACCCAGACGCAGCACCGGCCAACCCCAGCCGAGGTGGTCATCGCTGGAAGGAGGGAGATGACCATGGCCTTGCGAGCTGACATCGGAATTGCTCCCCTGGCGCGTGGCTCGGAATGGGCAGAATCATGTTTGTAGCTTGGATGCGCTGCCCGAGCTTGTAGCAGGAGTCTGTTCTCTTGTTAGACTTGTTACTTGTTGTCGGCTGTGCAGGTTCTTGTCTGAGGGTTTCTTGTATTGCTCCAATTTTTCGATCGAGGTCGAGTGGTGTACCTTCGCTGCTCGACATGCAGGGCCAGCCTGGAAAATTGGGTCCTCGAGCTTGCGCCCTGCTGAGCTTGAAGTCACGATGTGGATTTGAGGGGATTCCAAGTTTTGGTGGTTTTAAAGGGACGCCAAAAGGAAAACAGCCACTCTTGGGGGAAGGGCAAGACACACCTATTTGTGCGGAGTCTAGGGACTGAACCTCCGTGGACTGACTCAGACCCTGGGCTCAAGAGGAATCAGCGGAGGCGCGTGCCCCTTTGGCCACGCGATCCGCAGCATGAAGTCGGGAGAGGCCAGGGGCGGAGAGGGCCTGAGAGGTGAGAACCAACTTTTGGGGTGGCGGCCAAAGGGAAAGCCGCATTTCTTTTCGCGGCCCCCGATTTTGAAAACGCACCCGCTTGCAGGGCCTTCAGAGATGGCATGCTTCAGTGCTGGCTTTGCAATCAGAAGATGCGCAAGGGAAGCCAAAGGGGAGCCGCGCACCTGAGATCCTTCCGCCAGGTGCAGCAGTTTTCTTCGGCACCTCAAGCCGTGGGATCGAGGAACAAGTGCGCGCGAGAGTTGGCACGGGTAAATCCAAACACTTCCCCTGTAAAAGGAAACGCAACGGGCACCAGGTTCCTTTTGAAGAAGTCTAACGGTGGGTTGCATAAATCTCCATTGTCTCTCGTCCATCAAAGGGCTTCCAATCATATTTCAAACCCAAGTCTCCTGAAGTGTCGTTGTGAGTTCTGACCCGCTCTTCCCAGTGGAAGTGCTTGCAACCAAGCAGCCGCCGTTTTGGTGCAGGTACAGAGATCCGAATGACGTCACTGCCAAGGGCCATGGCAACATCATGTAACCCGGAGAGGGGATGCAAGGGGAATGAGGGCGCATGAGACAAACGTTTTAGTCCGCGTGGGGTGGTTCCCGCCCGCAACACAATTGCGTATCCCGTTGTTTTTTGTGATAAGCGTCAAACAATGATCTTGCACAGCCTTGGGCCAACTAAGTTTTGAAGCATGTTTCGAAGTAGCTGCGACACCACATCAGCAGTGGTGGCTGCCAGAATGTGCGTAGCATGTTCGGAATTGGTGTTTACCCTTTGCTTTGGAGAACCCAGTCCACTGAGTGTTCCCGTGAATGTGAATGCTACCATTTTGGCATGGACGTTCACTTCTGAAGAACCGAACGTGAGGGCCATTGGTGTTTACCCTTTAGAGCTTGGCATTGGTGTTTTCCCTACATCTTGAAAGGACTTGTAGCCACCCAATGCCATTTAGTTGGCCCTGGCAACTGCGAATTCAGAGTCAAGCCGCTATTGAAGACCAGTCTCTTTGTAGTGGCTCAATGGCCTTCAAGGTGCGTGGGGGGCGGATACCGAGGAGCCTCAAGGGCTTGTGAAGGCGTTACAAGGCCTTCTTGTCACTTCCCACCTGGATGTGGGCGTACCCTTTAAGGACGTTTTGCTTGGAAATCAACAGGAGGAACAACGTTTCTAGAAGTCCCCCGACTTGTCGACCGACGTACAAAAGCCGGTTCAAACCCACCTGCTTGCTTTGGCGGATGCGACCGCGTGAGTGTGAAGCCTATGAGCGTGGCAGGTACGACCGTCGGGTAGTGCGTGGTAATACCTACGCCGCCGTGGTGCAGCCGGAGCCGGATGCAGCAGAGGCTCCGTGGGTTTTTTGGGGGCTCGAAAAGGAGGAGCCAAAGGGAGACACGCCAGCTGGGTCGCTTTTTGGGGGCCTCGGATGTTGCGATGACCCTCTTGAATTCCCAGGGGCTGTGAATCTTAACGGGGAAGGTTCTGGATGCATAAAACGCCGATCTCTGATTCCCGCCAAGAGGCCCACAGCTTAAATTTTCTGCCCCGCGCCTGAGTAGGGTCCCTTGGACCGTGGACCATGCTTGGCACTTTTTGTTTAGTCCTCAACCCTTCAAAGGGCCCACCTCCCACCTAAATCAGGTCTCGTTTTTTGAGACATCCCCCCCATTTCGGCAAGGTGAGCCCCGAAGAAAAGAAAAGAACAAAAAGACACACGCGCACGCACAAAATCCTCCCCCCCCGCCGCCAGGTGCAGAAGCAGCGGGACGCCCAGCGCCGGCGGCTGAAGGCCGGGCAGACGAAGCGCCGTCCCGGGACTCCGGAGGCGATCCCCGGCGCTGGCCCCGGAGTCGGTCTGGCGAGTCAAAAACTTGGCCGGTCAAAACCGTTTTGGGATCCGGTTGGTACGAGCACCACCCATTTGGAACCGATTTTGGTGGGGATTGGGATGTTCAGACCCATGGCCACTTGGCGGACGTTGAGGCACTTGTGCCATGAAAACTTCGGTCGATGAAGGTGAAGGGAGAATCCCATAACATATCTTTTACATGAACCCTGGGCCCACCTGTTCGAAAATTCGGATGGATGCAGGTTAAGGGAGAATTTCTTTGCCATAGATGGCCTGTACCGCCTCTGCATGGTTCTGGGGAGGCCATTTTATTACCGGGTGTTGATTTCGACTCACTTGTGGGGGTCTGAATCCCAGGGTTAAAATGTGTGTGTTTGTGTTGTTTTTTCTGAGGCTCGGCCCGTCTTTTGGGTTGGGTTTAAAGAACAACCAAAAGGACAGCCACAACTTTCGGGGTTCCCCCTCAAATGCGGTTTCCCTTTGCCACCATTTTGGAGGGAAACATGGGGAATATCCGGAATATCATGTCATGGGCCCAGTCTCGACCCCCCCGAAAACAAGACGAGAATGCGACCTTCTTTGAAGGAGTCCAGAAAGGGGCGCAATTGGGAAGTTGGGAACAGAGAGCATATTTGCCATAGAGTATATCTTGTCCAATGATTCCAGTTCTCTGTATAGTAGGATACCCCGAAAGGAACATGTAACTGAGATGCTCTGGGTTGGCCAGTAGCAACGCGTTTCGTTTGTCACGTCCGAGAATCGAATTCCTTAGGCCGGAAGCACATGGACATCCAGACTGACACGTGAGCTCAGGCGCCGCATCATGGCTGTGGTTGCCTGTTGATGGCAGGTACCTGGAGAAGCTCACGGACCGCATCGTGGAGTTTGAGGCGCGGCGGTTGGCCATTCGAGGCCTTGAGAGATGATCCTTGATCCTAGGCTGAGACGCAGACAGACTTCATCCTGGATCGTCCACCCTCGCCGCTCTTCATGCCCGCGAAGGCTTCGCTGGGCTAGGAGTTTTGAAAGGGAGGACTTGGCTCGTGATGTCGGAGGCAAACTCACTTTTTACCAAAGAGGAATCGACTTACGCGAATGTCGCCGTGGCTCAGAATGGCCATTCGCGCAGATCGGGATTGACATCGAGACGCAGATCGAGGAGGGCGAGCTGTTCGATTTCGATGTGGAGTGCGAGCCAGTGCTGGAGGCAACTTGCATGGCTGACTAGTGCCCTTTTCATGGCTGGCTGTGGGTTCCCCATTTTTTTCCTCCACCTACATCACCCTTTGGTCCTCGTTCAAGGGACTGCTCAAAAACATCACCCTTTTTGATCCTTGTTCAAGTAGAAAGGACTGTATGATTCCAAAGACACAAGGAGCAGAGCGCTTTTCTTGCCGAGGTGCTTGTGGGCAAGACCCTGGAGCAGAGCATGATGGAGGTGCTGGAAGAGGAGGAGTTGGCGTCTCTGCAGAGGCCGTGGGACCCCCTTCGTGTCTTTGCATTTGGAGGTTAAGAGAAATGGGAAGCCGGAAGCCTCTTCCAGTTTTGGGAAATAGCTGCTGCCTATGAACTGTCCAGAAATCCTTCTTTTTTTTCTTTTTTTTTTGGGGGGGGAGGTGTTTCTTCCAGAACTCATGTTTTTCTTTTTGTTTTTTGTTTTTTTTGGGGGGGGCACCAGTTCGCCCTTCCATTGGGCGTTTCATAAACGAAACCTGGGTCTGTCTGCTTTTCTTGGGTCCCTTTTTGGGGCTGTTTAAAGGGAGAACCAAGGCACCCTACAAAAAATACAGACCGCGGGTCAAAAAATAGGTACCCAACACGGCACCCTGGTAAATGGAACCAAAGACTAAAACCTGCGGTCCATATCCCGGTGGCTAAGCGTTTGAGCCAAACCCGCATTTCTTAGACCAACCCCCTCCAAAAAAAGGAAAAAAGAAAAGGAACAAACACCCAAAAAGCAAACGAGCACAACAAAGAACCAGATCAATAGCAACACACACACACACACACACGCACGCACGCACGCACGCACGCACGCACGCACGCACGCACGCACGCACGCACGCACGCACGCACGCACGCACGCACGCACGCACGCACGCACGCACGCACGCACGCACGCACGCACGCACGCACGCACGCGCG